CGTGTGTGTGTGTGTGTGTGTGTGTGTGAAGGGGGGGTTGTGTGTGTGTGTATGTATGTCTGTTTGCAAGTATACAAGTACTTACTTTACCTTTTACTTCTATCCGCCGCTTATATCCTTTTGGGTGTCGCGGGAAGAAACAGACGTCTCTCTGTCGCCAGCCGGAGAGCTTGGGCCAGGGGGATACCGTGGGTGGTTAATGTTTCCCTGACTCCATCTATCCAGGTCTTTCTCGGTCGCCCTCTTGCCTTGTTGCCATCGAATTTTTGGATGTAGGCACCTTGTGCTGGATGGTGTGTTGGTAATCGTAGGAGATGTCCGAACCATTTGATTCTTTGGTGTTGGATGTGATGCATGACATCATTTGTGCCCACCATTTCTCGGATTACAGAGTTTCTAATTTTGTCTCGACTGGTCTTGTTTACTGCTTTTCTAAGGCATCGCATTTCACATGTTGTAATTCTTTGCTCTAATGTCTTGTTCGTGGTCCATGTTTGACATTGATAGGTGAGTGTTGGGATGTATATGGTGTTGACCATTTAGAGTTCTGTTGTCATAGGGATGTTAGGATGTTTCAGTAGTGGGGTAAGCTGTTAATTAACATTATTGGCCTTTTGTACTCGTGTTTCAATTTCTCTGTTCAGTCGTCCATCCTCTGTGAATATACTTCCAAGGTACTTAAATTCTTAGACCTATCTGAGACTGTTGTTGTTGATGTGTATCCTGAGTGGTCCTGGCTTTCTGCTTACTTTCATTGTCTCTGTTTTGTTGATGTTGATCTTCATGTCGTAGTTGTTACATTCTTCGTGTTTAATCTGGTGGTGTGGTGTTGGAGACTTCGTTCATCTTTGTGTGCCAGGCTTTGGTCATCAGCGAGGAGTAATTCATTTAGGGCGTTTGGTTCTGTGTTGGCCTCTTTTTTAATTCTATCCATATATATGATCAATAGTAAATAAGTATACAAGTACAATGCATTGAAATGATAATTATTTTGAATGGGCAGATAGAGAGATGCTGAGAGAGGGCAATGTCCAGAGAGAAAGAGATACACACACACGCACAC